TGGAGCCTTAAAGACATCTTCAGGATTTCTAGCTAAATCCAGTATAGTTGAAGGTAGGAATTTTGTCCTACGTGTTTTTTTCTTTTTTTTTTCTTTTTTTCTAGAGGAAAAATCCTCCCTAAAAAATCCTCCCTAAAAAATCCTCCCTAAAGGGGGGAAGGGGGGAAGGGAGAGGGGAAAAGAAGGCAGTTTTATGCAAGATCTTTATTCCACAGTAAGTAAAACTTTTTCAGGACTTGTAACTTGTAGAAAACCTCTTACAAACAAGTCATGCTCTATAAAAACACATGCTAGTTCATCTGTTGGTTTTATTACATATCTCAGTTATATCTCTCTTCACTTTAGCCAATATATGAATTTCCTTTATGGCTGTGCGTATCTAGAACTATTTTCATTGATGTACTGATGAAATGCATGTATTGACACATAGATGCGAGCTACTTGTATTAGTCTATTGGTCTTTGCTCTGTTGACTAGAAAAGCTTTAATTACTACTTCTGTCATGTGGTATTTGATGCTGTTGTTGGGTATAGTGTACAATTAGGATTTGACATCTGTTTATTAGGGAGCTGAGGGAGAGAGGGCTGGTCTCATCAGAAATTAAGCTAAGACTCTACTTTAAAGCTATGCTACTCTTTCTGTAGATGAATGATAATCTTAACTGATTTTCTTTTAGATGGACTAATGGTACAAATAACACCGGAAACGATGGAAAGCCTACGCCAGGCATTAAGAAACAAGAAGGACTTTAAAATAACTTGTGGCAAAGTGGATGCAGAAGGCCTAAAGGAATATGTAGATATTTGCTGGGTAGAAAATGAAGAAAAAACAAACAAAGGGTAAATGTATTACCAAAACAAAGCATCTTACAGAATTCTCTTGTTCACTGCTTGAAAATATCCACCTTCTATTTCTTGAAATAAATCTAAGGTATTTTTATTCAAAGGAAGTGTTCTACTAAAAGCTGTAAGGGAGTAGGACAGTAAAGTACCTGCTAGCCTCTAGATGTCACTAGCAGAACAGCTTAGCTTGTGTTCACCGAAATTAATACTGTTTTAAATGTTCAGAAATTTGACAGGAAGTGTGTGTGTGAACCTTTGAAAGTCCTCTATCGAATCAGTTATCAATTTAAGGATGCAGTTAATCTCTTTATATCTCGGGGAGGTGAGGTGGCTTGTGAGCACACAGTACTGCTCTTTGCCACTCACTGCTTTGAATGCCAGCGTTTAGTGAAACAAAGTAAGGTGCAAGACATCCTTACTTAATGTGTTTTGAATGGTTGTTTATACATCTTCAAACTTTAATTGTACACTGCTAACTCAAAAACTTGCTTTGTATTAACAGAGTTATTTCTCAGGCCCTGGGCTTGACTTAGTATGCCTTTTTCTGTGGTTTCATTGACCAATTAAAGCAGAAAGGTGCCTTACCTAAGATGGTTTATAGTTTCTTAAACCCATATGATGAGGCTTTTATCGAGTAAGTGTTGTTTGTTCCCTATGTAGGATAATTCTTCTGTAGCTTCTATGTTGATGTGATGCAAATCCTGTATTACGTTTTGTCATAGAGCTGTTTAAAAAGCCTTTAAGGATAACTAAACATGATTTGGTAGATTGGAAAAAGTTGTATGAATTAAAATGTTTTTTGTAATTATTAACAACGCTATTATCTTCCACAGAATTCTAAGTCCAGTAGATGGAAAAGCACTGGAAGGAACTCAGAGTGAAAAAGCACCACACAGCAGAGACTTCGAAAGAGAAGGAAAAGTTCTAAAGTGCACTGAAGTTAGTAAACTACATTGTACTTCAGCCTTTTTACTACCACTTAAAGTATTGTAGTGTTAAAGAAAGGGGTATTAAATGTTACTATTAAAGAATCTAACTTACCTGCTATATAGCCATACTGATTTGCAAACTGTTCTCTATGATTCCTTGATAAGCTTACATACTTTGTTATCTTCCTCTGAAAAGGAGTACATTGTAAAAGTCTATTATCATTGCTAATTAATGTCTGGATTAACGTATAATCCAGATATACCTATGGTCACTTAAGTATTATGACTGAACATGAAGTGTTAGAATAATATGACAGCAAACAAGCATTGGTATTTATAGCTCACTTTGTTCTGCCTACTCATTTTCTTACTTTTGTCATATAACCAGGCTATTGTCTGTCCTTATCCTTTCTGTGATTTCAGGTGTACTATTTTCTAAAGGACCATGAACTATCCAGTCCTGTTCCTCTTCAGTTTGCTAAAGAGATTGCGATTGCCTGCAGCGCTGCTCTTTGCCCACACCTTAAAACCTTGAAAAATAATGGGATGAATAAGATAGGCCTAAGAGTTTCTGTTGACTCAGATATGGTAATCTTTCAACTTTTATTGCAGACACTCCATTTCAACTGAAATCTTTCTTGTGAAGACCTTGGATCTCTTCCTGAATGGTTCTATTTTTTTTTGTCCTACCCCAGATCCAGACTGAGGATGAAATTTCATTTAGAAGCTGACTTAATGGCTAGTGGTTCATGAAAGGAATAGCCTCATTGTCTTTTCTGCCCCATTCCCTAGTAGCTGCTTGCTATAAGTTATCAGTTCTTCTCTGGTTCTGACTCTCTCTGGCACTCATTTGCCTCCAGGGTGAGTCAGTTTAGAGAGTTACAGAGTTAATTTTCTGATGCTTTCTTTAAGTATGTAGTTTTCTGCTGCATTAGCTCCCAACTCAGGAAAAGATATTTGGTCCAATATTTCTACAGCAGAAAAGGACAGGTTTGTCTAGTTCTGTTCAGTATGGATGTCCCTGAAAAGCCTGCATAACTCCAGTATTGAAATAAACATCTTTGTATCTGAAGGTCTTATTCTCTGTAACACTTCCTTATCTATTTTGAGGGAAGCTGTAAATGTACTCCTTAAATTCTAATTTTCAGCAATCTATTTTGAAATTTATCTATTAGTAACTGATCCTGGAATAAAATCAGATAATTTTTGGACAAAAGTCTGAAGCAGTCCGGGATGCTGAGGATTTGTGGCCTTGTAAACCTAGGTAGAATGTTGCATGTTCCTCTGGCAAACCTAATAGTTTGTGATCAACCTGAAAACCTACCCAGTTCCCAGTGTTTCAATGTTACTTTATGTCACTTCATGCTAGGTGAACTACTGTTTTACCAATTTACTACGCATTTGTGTCATCTTATTAGTTGCAAAAAATATTAAAATAGATGTGTTCTTATTCTAGGTTGAGTACTTGGCAGGATCCGGAGGTCAACTTCTTCCACAGTACTATCTGAATGAATTGGACAGTGCTCTGATTCCTGTGATCCATGGTGGGATGTCAGATCCTACAAGTTTACCATTGAAAATGGAATTAGTATTTTTCATTATAGAACATCTGTTTTGATGAGGCCAGTTACTGGCGAGATACTGATTTGCTAGCTCTGAATACCAAAGTTGTGATGCATCAAACACTAAAAATGATAACAGTTTTTAAGACTGGTTTTGTTTTAATGGATTTTCATTAATGGATTTTCAAACTGTTTAAGAAAAAAAGCACCAACTCTCAAACTCTTGCTGGTTACTTTATGACAAAAGAATTGTAATTTGTAATGTTTCCTAAACTTCTGAAGTTTCACACTTAATACAGTTGATGAAGAGGGCAGTCTTTGTTACCTCTTTACACAATTGTAGCGTTTACTTTGTGTAGTGTAACTTTAAGCCATATTATCTTGCCTCTTAACCTCAGATAAATATTAGAGAAATTGCTGTGGTTAGGTCTAATCTCAATCTGGAGCATGTGCTTTCCATGTGCATATGAGCTGAACACTGAAGTATACTTAGCTGGCACAAAACTGTTTTCTTGCCATTTGAGATTCAAATATGTGATCTGTAGCTGACTGCAAGCTTCATGTGTCAGTGCAAATACAAGTGCACACTTTTTGACACTCGTCTGTGATCAGCACAAGGAAGAATTTTGCAGGTATGTTTATGAAGACTTTGTAGTTGAAGTCCTGAATTACTAGGATATTATGCTGGTGCTTCAGGAACATATGCTTCTGAATTCCTTTTTATAGAAAACTGATTTCATTCTGGTATTTATAAGGACTTATCTAACTTAAATGGATGCTATTTTTATAAATACTGATACTTTTTTTCCTTTACTCTGTGTTCAGAAGTCCTGATGCAATTTGACCTTTCAAGGATTAATAAAAAGCCAGATTACCTTTGCAGTAATCTACATGTAGCAATAAGTAAGACAAGGTTTCTGCAATACTTTTTCTGCTTCCATTTACTGCTTTTGTCACCTCTTGGTAGCCACCTTTATTTTCAGGGACAATAAATGTATTGTGTGAATTTTCATGAACAGATCGCTTTAGTATACCTGCGGTTCTTGTATAGGATGTATTTTTGATATTGGGTCATTAAAATCTATTTATGTACTCGTGATGCATGTGATTTGTACCAAGGTTCAGTGAACCAAGGTTTGATAACTGTCACAACTGTTTACCAGGAACAGAACCAAAACAAAATCTGTCCAAGGTCTGTATTGTTTTCAGTAAAAATGTTGGTACCGTTTTATGCGACTATTAGAACTTTGATGCCTTCTTGATGCTCATAGGGGATATTTCATGTTTTTGTATCAAAAACAGTTTGTAACTTTAACCTAATCAGCTCTGCTGTTAACCGTGCTTTAAAAGGCAAGTTTTTGGAAGGTTTCAGGCTTCATCAAGATCTTGCTGTGGAGGATACTGGGGATACTTTCAAGCTGTTTCTTCAGAGGAGCTGACTCTGGAGAAGAGCTGAAGACCACAGGAGGAGCACTTGGGTGCAAGCAAAGTCACGCATGGACAGTGAAAGAAACAGCAGTGTAGACACACAGTTACCGGCTATTTAAATAAACACAGCCCTCTTACTCATGTGAAGCCTCGTCTTTCTTCCCCCTCAGGGGGGCTCCAGGACCCTTCACCCTCCTCAAGCCCTGTGCTGTGGCCGCCCTCCCGCCCCCCTGCAGCCGGGGCAGCCTCCGCCTCTGTCGGGGCGGGCCCGGGCGAGGCGATGGCGGCGCCGCTGGGTGCTGGAGGCTGGGGCGAGGCGGCGGTGGAGCATTTCCAGCGGGGCGGGCGGCTGGCGCACCGCGACGGGGCCGGGGTCCGCTGGTGGCATGCGGCCAACAGCAGGCTGAGAGCCCGGCAGGCCGCCAGCAGTGAGTGCCGGGGCGGGTGGCGGAGATGGCGGAGGGCAAGGAGGAGAGGAGAGGAGGGGAGGTGCCTGGGTTTGCTCAGCCCACAGGGCGGGCATCATGGCGGCACGCTGCTGCCTCATGAGGGGAGAGGGGGACAGGCGCTGGGCTCTGCTTGCTGGGGACAGCGACAGGACCCGAGGGGACGGCAGTCCCGTCTGTGGATAACACACATCTGTTTTTAAACATCAGAAAATAAAAACATCGCCTTCAAGCTGGCTGTGCTTTGGGCACCTCCCCATCCAGCAGCAGCCGAAGTGCTGGGGGACGAGTGCTTGTGGCAGCTTTGTCAGGGATATTCGGCAAATTTTGCCCCTCTTCTAGAAGCAGTTAGGGTTCCCAAGCAGTTTTGGCCTCGTATATCCTCTTCTACATCTTTTCAGGATGGTTTGAAATTAGGTACTGCTCCAACACACGCAGTAATATGTACTGGATTCAACAGGACAATTTATTTACTACTTTTTTTTTTCCTTTTTTTTTTTTTTTTTGGTTCCAGGTAATAACATATATCAGGTTATTCATGAGCACTACGTTGTAGTGAATTTTAACCAACGTGAACATCAAAATACATGTGATGCTTTTGATTTGCTTTTTATCAGCAATACAATTATCACCATCTTTTTTTTTTTTTTTTTTTTTTTTTTGCACTATTTCCATCGAAGTAACCGTTTCTATTGAATTCACTGCAAAGTTGTTAGCACTGTCCAAGCTCTCAGATACCTCTCCCTATAGGAAGCTGTTATCAAAAGCTTTCAGCTTTCCTAAGATTTCCACTCATTTGTGTTGAGCTTCAGCTACCATTTTCTTGAAGTTCTGGCTCAAGTGAGTTCGCCAGCCTGGGGAGTGAAACAAAAGGAATCTGACAGCGTCTCTGTCAGCATTAAAATCTTCTGGAGACTTTTCTTTAAGAAGCTCCAGAACTTTATTTTAAGTGAAAAAGGTCTGAAATTTAGCAAGAGTGGATCCACGTTTGGGATATTCATTTTGCCATTCACTTGGCTAAATGTGCATTCAAAAATCAATTTGCACTTGCTTGTAGATTTCTAAAGTGCCTACGGACTGAACTACCCCAAAAATTCTCTGTTGCTTCACACAGAGCAACTCATAGTCTCTGAGCTTTGTGGGGAGAGCGTGCACAGTCTTCCCAATAGTTGTGATTCTGAAGCAGACTCTGGAGCTGTTGGATTTGCTTTCTCTTACAGCAGTCATCTTTTAATAACAGGTGAGGCTCACATGATAGAAGCAGATGTCCTTCTCCGTGGTGGCAAGGGAGACCCCATCATGGCTCATCCGCCTGAAACAGACAGTGACATCACGTTGCAGGAATGGCTGGATGTGATTGTCAACACAGATAAAGGCATCAAGTTGGATTTTAAGAGGTATTTCAAGACAAAAACATTTGTATATACTACATATACATATATATTTGTATATGTATATCATTCTTACTTCTTAACAATTAACAGTTTTACAGGTAGTGCTATCTTTTGGTGATCGTAAACCAAACCATTTCTGATTGTGCAATTTAGAGTTATTCCTTCCTTACTGAACAGTAACTGTAGTGAATCATAGTCAGAATTACTGAATGCGTTTCAAGAGTAAAAGCTTTAAAGTGTTTTTAATCACAAATGATGATTTCATGTTCAGTCAACTTCTTTCCAAGTTGCCACTGAGCAAAATTCTCCCATTGGGAAAATTGACTTGGTAGTGCCTACCTGGAAAACTCCCACCAGTTTTCTACTTGAGCAAATAAATTAGGAAAGACGGCCTCTCAGCTGGAAGTCAGCGCGGCTTGCAGGCTGCAGATGGGGCTGAGCACGCTGGGTCTCTCTCTGCCCAGCAGCATGCATGTCACTCCTGCTGTTCTCCAGGTTTCTCAGTGGTGTTCTCTACTCTGGAAGGGGAATGAACCTGTCAAGGCTGTTTAAGGAGCTTCTGAACAGCTTGTTGAAAAGCTAGCTTTGTTCCAGGCTTGCTGAAGGTCATATTGATTAAAAATTAAATAAATAAAAGTCATCTCCCATCAGCATATATATCTTTCTTTCCAGAACTCTTTTTATTTTTTTAATTTATTTTAAAGGAGAGGACTTCTGTTCCCTCATCAGCTCCAATATTAACAGTCTGTTGGGAATTTCTCAATTCATGAATGAAATTCATTCTTTTGAATGTCCGATCTCTCACCATGCATGATAAAATTTTTGAGTATGATTTGTAATACAGTAAAGCTTTATTACTGTCAGTATGGTAAGTTGCATGTATATTGAAGTAAATTCAGTTTCTTTGATCTATCTTCTCAATTTCAGCTTTCAATTTTAACCGTGCTGTTTCCTTAGCTTTATTGGAAAATGCACCTGAAAAGCTCATAGAATTGCTTGGAAAAGTTTGAAATTGTATTCAAAGTGAGCTGTGATTTTCAGACATAATCTCTGCAATTCCTGTCTTCAGCTTTGTCTGATTCTCAGTGTACATCAGTTTTTGCAGCAGATGGAGAATCCAGCCGCGCTTTTAAAGGAGCCTTGGTATGTTACAGACACACAAAAATTGCTAGGTAGCTATAAAATTTGTACGGGTTGTTCTGTGTAATGTAATCACAGTTTTAATGTAAAAGTTCATGAGAATACAGAAATTGGGGGCAGACTTTTGTGGTTACAGAGTCTCTAAAAGTCTGCTTAGACAGAAAAGACAAATGTTAAGAGAAGTAGAGAGGTTTTCATTTTTTTTTCAGTTCAGTCTTAATTATTCCTGAAATTAATTTAAAAACTGTTGCCTCATTTATTCTACAAGGAATTTCTGTCCAAGTGCAATGATTTTTTAAAAGCTTTAAAAATTATATTGCATGATAAAAGTCTGATTGTACAAAAGTATTTAAAAAATACAAGCACACAGTGCACATACATTCAAATGAGTGACACAGAAGTTGATGTTCATTTGGATAATATTTCTTTGGGTACCGTTGCTGAAGTTTTGAAGGTTATTCCAGTGGTGCTTAAAAAGAAATATTTTCTGTATTTCTACTCTGTGAGCTTGATTAATCACATAATCACATTTCCTGTTCGAATTAATGTATTCTGCAACAGGACTTCAGAGTCACATTTCAAAAATGCCAGAATCATCTAAAGTGGAGTCAACAATACATTTTAATTTGTTCAGATTTATTCAGGGCTGTTGGTTCTTTTTTGTGTGTTTGTCTTGTTTTTGGGAGATGCTGCTTTGTTTGTTTCTCTTTACATTGTAATGTAATTTACAGCAAAAATGAAGGCAGTCTGCTGATTTGGAGAATCACCTGCATATTAGTTCTGGGAACATGTGAAGTGTTCTGGCTTCATAAGATGTGAAAAATACTTAAACCAATAATGTTAATTCAAGCCATTACTAGCTTTTCTCTGGGAAAAAAAAAAAAAAAAAAAGAGCCAGTGGAGCCAGTACTTAATAACTGAAAGTGCTGGGTGGAATTCCTGACAATATGCAGTTTTCTCAACAACACAGAAGTTAAAATGTACAAAATGACTTTTCACAGTAAGTAACACAGGCAGCTCAGGGTACACAGCTGGCTGCCGTTCTCATGTCTGGCTGAACATCCTGACATGATTCATCTGACCTCATCCTGAGCTGGGTTTGGGAATAGCTTGTTCCAGAACCAACCTTACAAAATGGTGAGAAGGACTCGCAGGAGAAAACACAGGTCCTTGCTATTAATAAGGAAAGCACGACTCTGATCATTACAATTTCAAATTCCTAAATGTTATGTGGAATGTTCATTAATTTGCTGAGTGAGAAAAATTATCTGTTTTCTTGGCATTCAGTCCCTTTCCCATTATTCTACATTTATTATTATTCTACATTTCTTTTTTTTTTTTTTTTCCTACAAAACTTCTGAAAGTTTTGTTAGGATGGGGAAAGGCTATGGTTTGCTTTCTAGCTATGCTCTTTATTTTGATTTAAGAGAGTAACAAATGTTGTATGACTTACAACATTTTGTTAAATGCTTACAGGAGGTTTCTACATCGGTTGCTCAAGTGACGACGTCGCATACTTAATAATGATCTATAGGATATAGATAATGCAGCCGCTGGTATGCCACACTTCTGAGCTATGGGAGTAACCACTACCAGGGTTAAAATGTTCAGATGAGTGCCCTTTCACCCTGTTAGTTGCCCAAAATGCTCAGTTTTTGTCTTTTTATTGTCCTAATACAGGTGCGTCGTCTTGCACAGATGTGAAGGTAATTTTTTTCTGTCAGCAGGATTTGAAATAGCTGTTCGTCAACAAAAAATGTCAAAATTTTAAGCTAGGTTGAGAGAGACTACTTTCAGCCTTCAGGTAGTATATAAGCCTCAGGAACATCCTCGGATAGAAGAAATAAATTTAGATTTATGACAGCACTTGTGGCTTTCAGGTATTGTCAGCCCAGTTGTCTAATCTGATTACAAATGTTAGCCAGAGCCTGCTGTGGCTTCCTTTACTAAAGTCCTTACCAAGCACCCAATAAAGTCCAAGTCTTACAAAGCCTGATGTTAGAAGAGCCATGAAGTACGAGCCATGAAGCAGTTCATTTTGGGCAGTCACCCTGTGGTAGAAAGGCTCCTCAGCACCTGCTCAGATGCTGCCTGTGTTACGTGGGGAGTTTTCATCAACTTCCCCTCCTGTACACGCATGGTGCCTTTCCCATCCTCGGTCTGGTAAGACGTCTCACCTCATCTGCATGTTGCTGGCACAGTCTAGATGCCGTACAGCCTTCCCTGGAGCTTCTCGAGCGTGTGAAGCCGCAGTTGAGGCGACCTGTTTGGCTCAACGCAGACATCCTGCCAGGACCGAACGGGAGCAGCAGCGCCGTGGATGCGAAAGGATTCCTTGACACGGTCACTTCGGTTTTCCCAGACGTAACCTTGTCGCTGGGGTGGACGACTGGGTGGCACCCTGACCAGCAAAATAAAGGTAAAGGTAGAAGATTTAATTCATATGCTCTATAGCCTACTCCCTCCAAGTTAATTTCATAGTTGATTCAAAATAAATCGAATGCCATCTTGTCAGTTTGAAAACAGTGTGAATATAAGAATTGTTTTCTTTCTTGATATATATTTGATAGTGTGTTGCATAGCTATTAGTTCTCTCTTTGAGTTGCAATGGAACTGTGTGAAAATCCAGTGTTTCTGTTAAAATAAGCAGTACTTTGTTCTTCTCATTCTCATGTACTGCACAATCTCTTGGGGACAAAGTGCCTGAGTTCTGTTTCAGGTGGTCTGCTCCCTGAATCCTGGCGGGATCGGAATGGTAATCAGAACTCTGGCACAGTTCCTAAGGAAAAAACTGATTAGCTAGAAGTTTTAAAACCTATGATTTTGCTCTTTCATTAGAAAACTGAAATCAAATTGCTGGTCAGCATTGTTTTCAACATTTCTATTGAAGAATTGAATTTGTGCTATAGATTTTCCAAGTTATTGATGTTAATAATTTCTGGAAATCTCAGTTTTGTGAATCTAATTGCAGTTTGTTATTGTTAATCCCTAACTAAAGTTTAAATCTGGAACGTGTAAACATTACTTTAGGATCTTTTCTACAGGCATCCTCTCACAGTTCTCAGAGCTGCTTTGTTGGGATTTTTTACTCCAGGGCCCATGCATTTGTGTGCAATGACACAGTTCCCAGCAGTATCATCTGGGACTACAGTGACAAAATTATACACCATTCCCAATTGCTTATTATTTATTAGCAAGATTTAGAATTTTGTTATGATTGTGTTGTATGTTATAGAGGGTTTTTTTTGGCTTGTATTTTCTCCAAAGTATTATCAGTCAAGTAAGAAGTTGTTGGAAATGCGCATAGGAAATATTGTACTGAATAATCTTTTTTTAATAAATGTAACTTTATGTTGTTCATTCAAAACTTCAGTTTATGATGATGCTAATTATGGATGTACTGTAAGACAAAAGAGAAACAGCTTATTTGAATGCTTACAACTGCAAGTTACTGTTTGCCCAACAAAACCTTTATTTAAAATTTTGTGCTTTTGTAGGCTTTGCAGTACCTACATTGCAGTAGAGTAATTGAGCAACAAATGATTAACTGATGTTACTGAAGTTAAGATTTTCATAGCCTTTAGAAGAGGAAAGTTAAAAAGCATTTTATCTCCAGTGCTTGTAAAAATCTCAGCAGCAAGCACTGCAAGTGTTTTAGATTGCTTATTTTCTAGCGTTTAGTGGTGTTTGTTTGTTTGTTTGTTTGTTGTTGTTGTTGTTGTTTTTGTTTGTTTGTTTTCTTTGTAATGTTTCTGTTTTTTTTAGGGCTACAGTCATGTTAAAACTAGTACATACTGAAGTCAGTGGCAACGCATTTTTAGAGAAAGAGTAACGATACAGTTTCCTGGACATTAAACATGTTACATTCTGTACCTTTATCCAAAATAACACTGCAGTTAATGTAAATAAGTTTCTTCTTCCATTTTAGTATTGAGACATTGACATTTTTTATTTATAATCATTTGGTGATTTCTTTTTTGATTTATCTGATTTTCACAAAACCAGTGTTTGCTCTTGTTCTGTCTTGCAAGCTTACCGTTCTATAAATCATCATGTCTTTATTTTAAATGGCCTTTGTTGTAGGCTATGACTGGACGATGGTGAAAGAAATGGCTCACATATGCAGTACACTTTCCCAGCCTGTTACCTTCCCTGTAAGAGCAGCATTAGTACGACAGTCAATGTCTGAGCTTTGTTGGTTAATACAACAGTCAGACAGGTAAGTTTGAGGGACTTGCTTCAATTTTATCAGTCCTTATTATAAAGGTACATATTTGTTATATTAAGTACAGTGCATCTATATATACATGCTTATCCCAATTAAATTGAAAATATTTTCTTTTAGCTTATTCCTTTAGTTTCTTAACTCCATCAGTTCTTCAGTTGTTTTATCACAGAAGCCTCTTTTAAAATTACTTTTTATAGTTAATGAATCATTTATAGGATTAATTGGATTTATAAGTAATCCAATTCCATTACATGCATTTCATAAGACTAATGTAGTTACATAGACCAAGCAGTTTGATGTTGCAATTTAGAATTAATGAGGTTTAATACTGACATTTTATATATTCCTTGCATTAGGTTATTTGTATACTATATAATAATGTGCCATAAAAACATCAAGGTGATATTTGAGCTGGAATGTGTTTGTTAACCTCGGTAGGAAGCTGGGCATCACCCAGCTCTACCCCAGCAGGACTGGAAAGAGAAGCTTAAGGGCAAAAGTGAGAAAACTCATCAGCTAAGTTAAAGACAGTTTTCTAGGTAAGAGGAGGGACAAAATAAAGCAAAACCAAGAAAAACAAGCAATGCAAAAGCAATTGCTCACCACTAACCCAGCCAGTACCTTATCAACAGCAACCCTGGCAAACTTCCCTCCACTCCCACAAGTTTTTACTGCTGTGCATGATGTTGTGTAATGAACACTGTTTTGATCACAATTCCAAAACTTATCCCATACTGATCTACTATGAAGAAAATTAATTCTGTCCCAGCCAAAACCAGTGCTACAGAAGTCAGGAAGTTTGCTGCAAACTTGTTTGGATTAGGTACTTGAAATATATTAAGTAGTTTCCAAACACCAAGTTATATTTCCTTTTAAAAACTCTTCTTATAAGCCCATAACAATTTCATAGCCAACATGTATTTGCCTATTATAGAAGAAGAATAAAATCTGCTTTTTACACACTGCCATTTACTATTTTTTTTCACCTACTCTGCTTACCTACACTTCAATAAAGTTGTTCCTTAAGCACTAAACAAGGTCAAAGCACAAACCAGAGAATTTAATACAAATAGTTTCCTGAAAAATTTCTAAGTAATTAGTGAAAATAAGGCAGAAAAATTAAGTGTTCATGTTAACAGTGGAGAATTGAGAGAGAAATGTTGATTATTGTAAACTGAGAAATTCATTTCTTTGTGTCATTCTCAAATATTTCTTCAGTGTATAAAAGCATAATTCCCACTGAAATAGCAGGATTTTCTCTTCACCTCATCCTTAAATTCTCAATTTTTTAGTGGCATTAGAAGTCAGAAATTCCTGAGCTGGCTTTGCTGACATACAGCTACAGTCTTGATTTACCTCTGTTTTAAATTAATACAGTTTTAGTAAAGGGAAAAAAAAAAAAGAAAAAAAAAGTTTGTTATACGGATATTCTGGACAGAAATGTTTCTATTTTTTATATATATATTTTTAAAGTTATAATAAAGTCTGTGCAATTAATGAGAAAAGCATGCATGATATGGTATGGAAGATACATCCAGTTAATCAGATGTCATCACTACGCATCACAGATGTGAGAAAATGCCACCACACTGATATCACCAATTATTAAGATTGCCTCCTGTTTGCTGTTATAATGCTCTGTAACTATTGCTCTGTAGCTCTGTAACTATTTATTATTTTATCAAACATAATGTTTAGCTGAAATTTCTTTGCTGGATATCTGCCATGCATTGTTTATTTTATTCCTTGAAAATTCCTTGAACAGTTCATACAAGAACCAGGCTCAGTATAAATTGTGTTGGGTAATGGACAACTGTCCATCTTTAAAAATTTGCAGTCCTTCTCCTTGGGAAGTTCTAACAAATTTAGTTGTAGTTGCAAGAACTTAAATTTTACTAGAACCAAACTGTGCGATTTTCTTCATCTCTAAGGAAAAAAAAATGTGGCCTTTGCAAATTGTCATTCACATTCATCAAATAGAGGTTTATTTAGAGGCTTGCAATCATGTTCTTATGCTATCCTGTCTGTGGTAAGCATTCTGTAGGGTCCCTGTGCAAACTAGTTTGAGCATGTGTTGGAGCATGCCCGTTTTTGAAGTAGCATTTTCAAGAATTGATTTTCCTGGTAATTGTAAGTCATTGTGGTAATAAGACGAGTATAGAGACCATCAGCACAGTTCCTTGCACCACAAATGCAGGGTGGGGGAAGATGATTTTCCTGGATGTGAATGGGTAAAGAGGACAGGGATGTTTAATTCGGGTAGTTCATAAATTTTTGTTGCTTAACTATGAAATCTAAAGGAGATAATTTTTTGGTATGTAGTTTCATTGCTAAAATTAAGATACCATAGACCTGACTATTTTTAAAAGCATATTAGTGCAATGTCTTTCTGTCTTACATCCTTTAAATTACTCTCTATTTTCTCTCTCTCTCTCTCTCTTTTTTTTTTTATAGGTACAGCCTCACCATTTGGACAGGGAAAGAAGATGTGTATTCTGTAGAAGATTTGCTTTACATCCGAAAAAACTTTGATAAAAGTAGGGTTTACTATGACATCTTAGAACCACAAAATTCTGAATTCAAAAAAGCCATAGGAATAGAATGCTAACTGTGAAGCCCATGAGCTGAGACCTTGTAATACTTCGCCTCTTTAAACATGAAAACTTCTCGTTCAGTGAACATACCCGTGGTTATTGAGGAAGCTTTTGTGTAACTTTCTTAAAAGTTTTCCCAAATAATGCCTCTTTGATAGGTCAGAATTGTTACTTGCTCATCATATGCATCTCCCCTCTCCTTCTAGCACTTGTTCCCTGCAAGCATATAAAGAGGAGGGTGGCCTCAGTGCATAGCTGTGGACCATGATAATTTGCTACCAACTGCTTTTGTGTAAGCCAGTTATGGGACACTTGATGTCTACGAAAGAAAATAGTTCACACTTTATACAGGCAGACAAGAATTGAGGTTGTAGTAAGTACAGAGATACACAGTTTCTGAAAACTTTTTATTTTGTAGCTCAACCTGATACACTCCATTTTTACTGCTGTCATAATAGACAATTTTCTCAGTCCTAGTGAATCGAAGATTCTGATTGCTGGGTGTGGGATGCGTGATGCTACATGTCCCGGGCAGATAAAATAGTTATTTTTCCTGAATTAAAACTAATCAAGTTCATTGAAGTGTGGCAGTCATACATTTCATGGCTTTCCTCCATGCATTCCAAGCCGTCAGCAGCATGCACTGTGTCCCTGGACTGTGAAAAGCTGGAGTTGTAGCTATAGCTGAAAGAGGCACTGGGGCAGAGAGAGATGGTGAAATGAACTGTAATTCTGACCTGTACTTAAAGCACATGGATGGATTGCAGTGAAGTACGTATCAGCTACAGTATTAAAAAGACCTACAGTGGTTTATAAGATCGAGAAGTGCTGATTGTTCTTTCAAGAGTCTTAAACTAAATTTTAAGTGTAAGAGTAGCTATGTAAAATGCTCTGTTGTAGTCTTTTTGAAAGCCAGAGGCTTTAAGAGTAAAATAGCTGTACAGTAATTGGTGCTTACCACAAAAATTGTACATTTCTGTGATTGTACAGTTATTTTCTACATTCCCCTGTACTGGACGTCTTTTTGACTCACAGAATGCAATTTCAAAAATTTTCGGAAGTTAAACTTTCCCTTCAGAAAAAATAAACTCATTGCAACCTTCTTTGTCATCTGCAGGAAAAGGCCTAATTTAAGCATTTTTTTGCCTCTCTTCTGTCTGCATTTATTAAAATGAATGGCAGCAACCACCAAAAGGTCAACTTTGTCAGTGTGATTCCTTTTAATGAATTGGGAGAAAAGATGTATTGTTTAGTTAACTATGCCAACATGAGCAGGTTTGAACAGATTTATCTTCTCTATTCTTTGTAGCATCTGTTTCTATTGGCTTTGTGGGCACACTTTGCTATTGCACTGGAAGAAGAGTCATAAACTATTTCCTTCCTTGCCATAACTATGGAGAATATTTTAAGTACTTTAAGGACCATTTTCTAATCAGATCATTTTGACCAACCCAGGTTTCAGGAGCTATTACCTGAACAGGCATGAAAACAGATCTGATCATGTAGGGACACTCTTGGATAATGACCTTTTCACCTTACTCCTTTCCAGGGAGAACAGGACGTTTGACTGACCAAAGGTCCCATTAACCAAAGTTCTGGATGTTGCTTTGAGTCTATAGTACATACAGCAAGGTAGTATGAAAAAGTATAGTTCAGGTTTTTTAATACCCGAAGTATTAGGAGTTGTTAAAACTGATTAAACTATTAAGTAATAAAACATTATCAGCAATTGCCAGAAGTACTTTTAAGGATACAGGCATCGTAGAAGAAATATCACTGGCTAATATATGTGGATATGAATAAACAGAGATAGTCAGATGCAATTAAATGAAGACACAGTCTGATTACCAGAAAAATCAATTAAGGTAACAAGACGTGTGAAAGTAGATTAAACGAAGTGCTGGAGTGAGTTCTATGAAGCGTTCTTGCAGTGACAGAAGGGTTTGACAATATTCTGAAGTTGATTATTCTGTATGGGTTATCCTTTAAATCTGAATTTCTCTCTGTTTTCTTTTTTTACCCATGTATCTCTGTTAGTTTTCTGCAAAAGGGCTTGGGTCCTGGTCTGACTTGCATAAAAATAAATTAATTTGACTTTGTTTCTCTGTTTTCATGCTGTAATATCTCCTTGTAATACCAGATGTGTTAACTGTGGGGCTAGCAGTAAGACAGTAAAGATGAGATGAAAGCCAGTTGTTTATTCTGTTGGAAACAGCTATCTGTGAAAGTTCTGTGTTGCTCTAGCTGTTGATGTCTCCTTTTTTACTCTCGCAAATGATCTATTCCTTGTCCTTAAAACTTTCTTTAGGAGTTTTGCCTTCTGCTTGTGGATTTTTTTTTTTTCTCCAGCAGTGTTACTTTGTTATCTTTCAGCCAAGTTTTTAGACATACTTGTCATTGTTACATAACAAACCCAGTTGTCTTTAATGGATTAGGTATTGTTCTGGATATCCAGGTGAGTTAATTGATTAATAAAACATTTGAAATTTACTTCAGATGTAGCTCAAGTCATATATTTTTCTGCGAATTTGATGGAACTTACTAAACAGATAATATAATGTCACAGAAGAGAGGTGGCATCATTAATCCTCCATAACTACTCAATGAAATTCAGAAGCAATGTTTGTAATGACTAAACCGAAACAGAAGCTAGTTTTCTGAGGTTTGTGTTTTTCAAATGTACTGTGAATTCAAAGAAAATTCTTTAAAAACAGTTGAATTATTCAGTTTTGGTCTACTCTGACTGAAAACAAACAAGCATAAAAAGCAACTGTCTTTTTCTTCAAGATAGATTAAAACCTTTTACTTTTTATTTATCAGTCGGCTGTCTGATTAAGCCATTTGCTAATATTATCTCAAATTTATTTTGCATTTAACTTTCCATGAAAGCCTATTTAATGTTATTGACCTCAAGCACTTGTGATGGAGACAGAAGAATTTGATTCCAGCACCTGGTGCATGTAATCTTTTGTCTATCAGTAGGGATTGTGCAATAGCTGCAGGAAAGTATGTGAAACTTCTGAGTCCCCTTGTGCGAATCGGAGTTTCTGGTACAGATAAGAAGACAGAGAGATTGAATTACAGAGAAAGTTTTTGTACTTCATTGAATAATTTGGCGACAAAATAGTCCGTTCCTTTCCTTCCTTTTTTTCTTTAAGCAAAACTATAGTAATAGCAGTTAGCAGTGCTGTGAAGTTCAAAATGTTTCAGCCGTTTTTCTTTTTTTTTGTTTTGTTTTTGTTTTAAAGAAACATTTTTCATGAAGTTTTGTTAATTAGAAGTTGTTTTCTACCATGAAACAATATTATACATCTTGAAATTTCAATTGAAAAGTAATATTGATAGATTTTTGATGCTGTGTTTTGATGTTTGTAGACTATTATTCTTTAGTCTGTTTGTCTTTTGTTGCGGTAATACCTGTATGTTTATGCAATGTGATTCCCTAACGCCTAGGATTATCATCTATTAGTTTGGTGTATATACTGACAGTTTTCACCAGGAGTTTTATGTACAAATCTTGTATGGATCTATGTGCAAAAATGAGGCCTCCTAAATATAACCCAAGTCAGAGTGTTGTGTGAGTCTCTACTTCTTTGCCTCTCTTCTAGGGCTTTGCTGGTTGAGCTCCGACAGCTGTCTTTGCAGTGAAGTAAGATGGTGATACTTCTGGATGCTGTTACTCCTGACTTGTCTTTTTTCCTGCAGATCACTGTAATTATTGCATTATTACCCTTTCAGTGTGGATATATAAAGAACATACACACTACATACTGCAGTTACTCTTAGTTGCAGTAGGACAGTAAGGTCCATGTTCCCTTCTGCCAGCTGTTCTGCAGGAGCAGTAACTTCTGGCAGCTTGGTGCAAGAGGATGCTGGGGATAATAACATCTTACACTGCTGTAGCTAAGGGTATTCATTAAAATCCACAATAAAGAACTACCATTTTTTATCGTGCTTCCAATAAAATTTAAACTATGTTACTCTTATCTTCTGAATTTTGAACATCTGAATTTTCAAGGCAAATAAATGTGTTTTTAAATATCCTGATATTTTGGGTTTGTTCCCTTGAATTTTTCAGTGGTCCTTGTATCATCACAGCTGTTGCCTTTGACACCCAGTTGCCACTCCTGGCATTGTTGTAACATAAAAGTTGCACCTGCACATTTGTAATCTCAGTGGGGATCTGTCTGAGCAGAATTAAAAAATATTAAAAAAAAAAAAGTATTTTTTAAAAATATTTTTAACGCAGTTGTTGTGTTTTTTAAATGTATGCTCTGCTCATGTCAAGTGTTTTATTTTAAAATGGACTAACTTTTTCAGAGAGAAGACTGTAAACCATGCCATTTTTGGCAACTTGTAGAAGTGTTCAAATTGCTAACTGATGCCTTCAGGGGAAAAAATACAGGAATTAATTACAGTCCATCAACATGCAGCTGCATCTGGAGTTCAGAAATTTGGGAATAACCTGGACCGTATGCAATTTTTAAAAAATTCACTCTTTAGTCTGAGATTGTAGTTTGTTTTTTTTTTTAAACAGCACTTAAACCCAGCTGAACATAAAGTCACTTTTTACCTATTTGGGCCCAAACCCCTGAATTAATCTTAGACCTACAGAGTGGAGCTAGATAGAGCCCTGCGCTACAGGAGGTACCATCTTCATGGTTATATTTAAAACAGCAATTTCGGCTTCACACAGATTCTCAGAATCCTTGGGTACTTTCTTAAGTGTAGAAATGTTAACACCCAAGCTTCCTAAATCCCAGTTTAAGTGAATTACATACTGTCTAAATTTATCCTTCCGTTTCTGCTTGTTACAGCACACACTGATCGTGTTTAGTACTCCAGAGGAGCAAGGGAGCAATACAGATGGAGTAAGCCCTGATGTGGGGATGAACTTCCAGGCATTCCTTTCAGAATACTTTTTTTTTTTTTTTTTTTTAATAATTTAATGGCACTTTTCACCTACTAGTAAATATTAGCACAGAGAACTAATGCAGGTGCAAAATTAGTTTTAAGTAATTTGCAATTCCTCTAGTTCTGTTCCTATAAACTTTCTTTGTTGCATTTTAACAGATCTGTGCAAGGAATGTATTTAAATGAAGACTTTGCACAAAGTAACTCAGATGTTTGTATCAGGAGAGTGATTCAGCCCCTAGTCAAGGTCCTCAGGTTTTGTTGTCTGTTTTGTGTAAACATAAACACGCAAGATTATGTTTTGCTTGTATAAAATGCTAAAACCAAGGATGTTCCTAGGAGATGTGCTCTCTTTCAGCTACAGACATCGTCCAGGCAGACACCTTTCTCAGATAACCTGTATACTTTGAAGAACAGGAATATTGGATGAATATTAAAATTAGGCTAATTTACCTGAGGGACTGTAAGATCTGCCATCTTTTTTGAAAGGATTTATAGTGGTGGAATTTTATCAGAGCAATTAGCCATAAAAAATGGCATTTTATCCCTTTTACTCTAGAAAAATAGTCTTCGTAAGATGCCTCCATATCAAAACTGATCTTTTTGAAGGTATTGCGGTGCTAGTAAAACTTTAAACTTGAAGGAGAAAATACTATGCTGGCAAACAGTGGGAAATATTTTGCAACAAATATTCTTCCTTCTAACTCTGAGTGTTAAATTCAAAGTGAAAAAAGCTTGTACCTCTTATGAGAACAGTATGAATGTTTTTAGTAGGATCATTACTTGTGACTAACATTAACCTTTCTATAGCAAGCCTTGTTCTCGTTACATGAATACAATATCAAACAAATGGAGTAATGGTTTACTCCATTAATAAAAGAATCCATTTTATTATAAATATCTTGTTTTAGAAAAAAAGTAGTTGGAAAGTTGATCGGTTGTATTACATGCACTAAGAAGTCTTAATAAGGACTGATGAGGGAAAAATACTTTTTTTTTTTTCAATGACGTTTAGTTTACTATTTTTCCTGTATAGCTGCATCAAATGCTCTTGGAAGAGTTTCATTCTTTTTCATAATTGTAAAAAGACAAAAAGCAAGTGGGAACAATTCCTCCAAATGACTTTCTCCTTACTGTGAAAACAAAAAAAGTGAGTAGGGAAGGATATTTTTAAAGTTGTGCTTTGAACGCATTACCTGAAGTACAACTTTGAACACTGTTTTGTTTTGTTTTTGTAGTATTTTCATGTGGCGACTTACTGTTCTTGTATTTAATGAACCAAGCTATAAAATACAGAAGTTGGATGCATTTTTTTTAGATGATCACTATTTTTGTGAGGCCACCAGTATTTGTCTAGAAGGTACTTTGTATGGTTTCACAGTATTTTCCAGACAAAATTGAAACCAAAGATAAAAAAGATTTTTTCGCCTTTCTAAATTCTTAGATGGTCTGCAAAAATATTATCACAGGGGTTCAAAACCAATAATCTTGTGTATATTCCTGCTAAGTGTATATTCCTGAAAGCTGTAATTTGCATTGACAGGAATGCTTACTCACAGGGGTATTGCTTCCATTTTTTAAAATAGTTTAGTGTAGGACTGTTTAATAATTTATACCATTAATCTTTTTAGAAGTTGGAGTGGATGAGCCTCACTGATTTTTTGCTGTCAGGTGTGTGGAATAAGCCGCTCCCCGTGGCGTGGGAAGCAATGGCTCTTGAAGGAAAACTGGAAAGGAAGAAGTTTCAGCTTGTGATGTTTTCTTTATCAAGATACATAAAGAACACCCGAAAGGTCTTTTGTTGGTTTTAAACTTTTAAGCTTTGGGGGGAATTTAACATTAGAAATCAGGTCTTGTTTCCCATTCTTTGCTTAAGAGACTTTAAGGACAATTGGAAAACAACTAGGATTAAGACTTCAAAAATGGCAGAAGTGTATCCTCACTGAAACTAAACATTAAAAAAAAAAAAAGGCTACTGATAGAGGCTTTCTCACACATTGCTTTGTACAAATTCAGCTATGGTTGATTAAATCTAATTAACTGTTCCAGTTTTCCAGTGTAGAGACAGCCTGAGAAACACTTAAAAGTGGGTACCTTTGACAGTGACTCAGCCTCTCCTAAATGGCGAATAAATGGATGCCTATTTCCATGTTCTTTGAATGGAGGAAAAAAAATAACTTTTATTTATGCATCAGAACAACAGCAAGTCAACACGACTGGAATGCTTTTCCATCTAAAGTCACTTGTAACACTGATGCAACAATAAACACTGATGTTAGCTTTTCACATTACTTCTGCATTAAAGTTAGGCACAAAATACTGGCAACATGACAAAAAGACTTCACTTCTCAAGACATTTAACATTTCCTTCCGTCATCTGAGTAACTTATATAACTTGTAAAAAATTACTATTTCTGTTCAGGAAGCAGTAACACCCCCACACGTAATTATAACACTGACACAGCAGAAATCTACCATGTACATGCTGAGGTTGATCCAATAGCATCTGAAGTGCAATGCTGTTTTCCAGACTGCACCTGAAAGGAACCAAAGGCTCCTCCAGTTTCACCGCCTCCTCCAGCAGCTCGTAGCTGTTACTGAGTGAAGCCTAACTCCCCAGGTTTGAATGTTTAGCTATGCAAACTCACCTGGGTTTTAATGTTTTGTTTTGTTTTTTGTTTTGGTGGGGGTGTTTTTTGTTTGTTGGTCGGTTCATTGGTGATGGTGTTTTGTTTGCTTAAAACCCAGAGAACACTTGTTGCTTATGTGCAGAGACTAGGGTTGGCCACACAGTCCATAAATGAGCAAGTCTTCCAGCAGATGAATAGTCCTTCTCTAATTAACTAACCAATGAATAAAAAAAGTAAATTGTAAAACACCCCACTTGCCATCAGATTTTTGTGACTTGAAGTGGTTACTCCTGATGGGCAAGAAACTAACCGAGTGTGACAGTCACAACTGATTAAGTAAAATGCGGTGGGATTGTGCAGTTACTCTGGGGCTCCTCTGCTGTCACCAGTGCTGTGCATCCCAGGTTAGAGCTGTAAGGGAAGGACAGCAAAGGACATGATGACTTTCAAGACCTGTATTTTGTGTAGGAAAATTAATTTTGACAATAGTGATGCAGATTTTCATGTTTGCTTATTCCCTAGAATCTAGATGTCTGAAGGGTTTGGTGTTGCAAAATTGATTTTAAGATTTAAATTTGTAGTTTCAGACCAGCACTTTACATACAGTGGTGTAAGAGTTGAGCTATAATCCACGCTTCCTTCTTCAGAATGTGCACATTACGAACTTTAGGACATTTTCATATTTTCACATCCAAAGGTTCTTACAGAGACAATACATTTATCATCTTACTTGAAATTGTCTTATACTAAGAACAAAACTAAACAACATCACAGCTACTTATTAGGCAACATCACAGACCGGGTGAATTTTGACTGAAGTGGCAAGAAGGCAGGTAATACCCACTGACTATCTTCAGAAAAGTGTATGTCATTTCATTACACAGAAATTCACACTATACAGACATCGATACTATATATGTGTAAATATATATATATATAGGTAATTTTTGGCAAAACAGAGCACATTAAATACTTCTCAATCTTTAGAAGACAAGCTATAAAATGCTACATGTGACACCCGAAACCAAGCTTCTACAGAATATGCACAAATACAAGGTAGATGTTTGGAACCACAAAACTTTAGATGGGAAGGAAAAACACCTTTTAGATAGAGATACTTAAAAACAGAGATATATACAATACCTCAGAGGCAAAAGTACGTTTTTGGTTTGCAACAGATTCAGGCTTTTGCTTCAAATTAGGTAAAATGAGGATTTTGAATGCCCAGGCAAGTACCCGAGCTGCTGGATGGATTTCTTTAGCAATGCCTGAGCAGCAAGACAGAGCTTGTCCCAGGCATGGGTGTGCGACCATAAGCACAGAGCAAGACAAAAAATCTGTCTCCAACCATCTGTATCCTGTCTTGAAAAGACGCCTAGACCTGTGGCTGGGGAGAAGGATGATGTATTCTGGAGATCAGGTTGTTGAGTCTGGAACTGCAGAAAGTAACAGAACCAACCCAGTTCTCATACACACTCTGCCTTCTGCCTCTCCCCCCCCCTTTTTTTTTTTTTTTTTTTTTTTTTAATGCGCAAATTCCAGCACTCAAGTAGCTCGATAGACCCAAATTGTTTGACATGCCTCTCTGAGGCTGCAAGCAGGGTTTGGTCATTGTACAGCAGATGAGAGGGAACCCAACCCCTTCGGGGCTCCGTGCTGGATCGTGGCCACGTGTCGTGAAGTCCAGCTCTCAGGCTCAGCGCTGCTGACTCCCGGCGGGCAGCAAGGCACCTCCAACGGGCTCCCAGTCTTTGGGATTTCACGGGTGAAGCTACATATGTAACAGTACTCTGTGAGTTTTTTCTTAGTCTTTGCCTGTTAACATGCAGCGAGGCCACTGGAGCCAGAAGATGCTGCTGGCAGAGACTTGCCCACGCATAGGCATGACACTGTCAGTGTCTGGGGTCTGTGGATAACACACAGCTTGGCCACAGCCACGCTTTGATGTCCAGCATTTGTACAACATTTTTGGGTGGAGAAAGAGCCTATGTATTTGGGGAAATCTTGCAGGAACAGTATCTCCAACCCAAAAATGAGAACTGCAGCGCCTAATGTCCTTTGTAGATTCATCCTGTTGTGGGCAAGGTTTCAATGCTCAAGTTGAAAATACTATGAAAACAATGTAATAAACACTCCTCCATTTACAGAAAACAGCTTCACTTAGACAGGTAGTTAAGCCTATCTTTTTAAGCAGTATTAAGATATTTAACTCACTCCAAGACAGCAAGCCTTATGATACAGACCTGCTGTCTTTTCAGGAGTGTAACAGCTAAATAGGTAGGCAAGTATGTACATATTGTAAGGATGTTATAAACCTTCATATCTCCTGTTAAAAATTCAGTAATTGCCTTATCTGCTCAGTTTGCAATGACTGCCTCCTTAGCAGCATTTTTTTACTTTTGGTCTCCCTAGAGGAAGAAGCTACTGCTGGTAGCAAGTGTTTCTGCCCATAAGAAATCACCCCAGAAACCTTATTTAGGAAACTAATATCTGGAATTGGGGGGTGAGGATTCATATTCAGTGGTGGAAGAAAACCTGGCCTTGTCTGAGAAAAGTTATCCAGTAACAAAGCCCCTGAACCCCGTCTTTCTAGAACAGTCTGATTTCTTCTGCTCAGGGGAAGAGGCGGCATGCTCTCAAATAATTCTCTAGAGCTTGGTAACAAAGAGTGAGATGCAGAGCTGATCTTCTTCTTTCCTATCACTGACTTCATGTCTTCCGCAGCAGCAGGACGTAGACTAGTAGTTAACTGAGAATCAGAGCTGTAATGATTTGCTCCTAAGTTTCTTTTCTGGATAATACTACTCAGGTCTGAAATGAAGCTGATCTGTCCTAAACTGGAATCCTTACCCACAGGAATCCCACTGCGGAAAAGCCTCTCTTCGCCATAAAGAGTCTGAGAGTTCAACTCATCATATGATGATTTCTTCGATGCAGTTTGATCAATAGCTTTCAGTAAATGAGCAGCGTCTTTTATGTCAATACTTTGGTGTCTGGTAATGAACCTCTTTGACAAGGCAAGGCCATTGATTTTAAAAGAGAGCTCTTCTGGAGTTACATCCTGGATCTCTCCATGTAAAGAGGCAATTTTACTCTGGTGGAACAGCGGAGAGCTCTTTATCCAAGGTTCAGAATGCAGCTGCTGCACTTGTGCCAGCTTGGAGACTGCATTGGTTGGGCTGGAATTTCTCAGTGAGACTGACTGAGACGGATTGTCTGTGCTTCTGGGATGGTCCAGATCCTGAAAGCTGAAGAGTGCACTTTTAGTCTCATTCGAGCTTGAAAGTGGGGGTGGAGATGTTTTCAGTTCTATTTCGGATGGGGACGTGCAGGCATCTGGGGAACAGTGCTCACTGAGGTCCGCAGGAGGCACGTTTAAGTATTGTTTCGTTGTTTGCCTTCCTGATGGAGACTTATCTGTTGTGATTATGATTACCTCTTTTCCTCTGGCTTTGCAGGCATTGAGAAGAACTTCCAGGGTCTCTTTGTCTTCAGAGTTTATTGCGTACACCAGCGCAGAGCTGTTAGAGTGATCTTGTAGGCTCGGGTCAGCTCCGCTTTTCAGCAGCAGAGAGACCACCTCAGGCCCTGCTTTTTCTAAACAGGCATGCATCAAGGCTGTCTTTCCAGACTTGTCCTGTATGTTCGGATCTGCCTTGTTTTCCAGCAGATATTTAACCATCTTTGCCTTGCTGACACTCTGGGCGTCCACGTGTTTCGTCTTACAAGCAATCATTAAAGGGGTTTCACCCCTGTCGTTGCTTTCGTTGATGTAGGCCCCCCCTTCCAGTAACAGCCTGGTGAGGCGCAGTCGGCTCTGGTAGACAGCTCTGATCAGGGAATTCCCTTCTGTCGGCAGGTCCACGGTCTCATTCATGGCACTTGTCTCTCAATCACACCTTCCTAGCTGCTGGAAAGAACACCTGGCGCTCAAAGAAGACAAGGAGGCACAAAAAGAAGGAAAAAAAAGGGGGGAGGGAGTGTGTCAGCTTTTTGAATTGCTCCTGTAAACTCACCGCTACTCTGTGACAAGAGGGAAGATAAGAAGGAAAAAAAAAGAAAAAAAAAAAAAGGTAGTCTTGCCTCCTAAACTTCAAGAAACGCACTAAAAATTTTAAAAAATATTTGGCTACACTTAAAATATTTATGGATGCTTAATACACAGCTGTCACTTTTTATTTTTCAGGCTGCTGTTGCTTCTGTCACAGCCTGACAAATAAGCTGCAAAAAAAGTCGAATTCTCCACACTGTGATGTTTTTATACTTACTATACCCAAGTGGCTCTGCTGCAGTTGTACCGCTCCTGATTTGCACCCGTGGAAGCAAGAACTGAATGAGCCCTGCAGCACATTTTTCACTGATATAAGTTACTGTGTCACATTCACTTTTTCTTTCTCATAAAATGACAGTGCTAAACGTCTAGAAACGAATCTAGAAACAAATTCCAAGGTATAACAAATAAGAAAAGCACAAGCACTCTTTGTTTGTTTATCTAAGAAGTAACTGTTAAATAGTTGGAAGATAAATATTAATGTCTTTCATAAAAAGTGGTAATATTTGGGGAAGCACGCTACCTTCCTTTTGTGGATTGGAAAACATACTAGTTTGAGTGAAACGGCATAAATGAAGTGACGCAGGGGTTATTGCATTTGTCACGAGGATCAGTAGTAGGCTGAGAGGTGTCCACTGCCTGGGCACAAAGTATCAGCTCTAAAAGAAAAGAAGTATTTGATAGCATCAAAGAAAATCTGAAGGTTTCGCTTGAAAAAAAATATGAGCTCAATGTGATGCAAATAATGAAAGGTCTCGTATGAATATACACCCACACACATGAAAACAAACAAAAAAATGCTTTTATTTATGTGATTGTTTACCTATGTGGAGGGAAAATCTTCAGAGCCAAAATAAAAATCAGTATTTAACAATGGGCAGAGCACTATAACACCAAGACAGGATACACATGGACATGAAAACTACTTGTTTATTTACAAGGTATTGCTAGAGAGATAAAAACATTTAATTGGCTTAACTGCAAAGAAAATGAGCATATGCACTGTTATTTACCATTGAAAGCACTAGTAATATTTTGCTGAATAACTGAAAAGAAGCAACTTCATTCTGGTTTTCTTCAATATTGGAGTTTTACTTTGATTTCCAAAATCAAAGAAGAGTATCAACGTAGTTTGTTCTAAAAGTCCAATAAACAAAAAAAGTTAACTGAAATACATACACATGAGACTTTTACCCCAGATTCCCCCCACCATGCAGTTTCACTCCACAGCAACATGCTCCACAGGCAGAGGGGCGCTTGTTCATCTGTGGTTTGTCAGCCACGATGTGAACAGTTAGCTCCGGGGCTTCACACTTACCATGTGTTAGTAAAACACTCAGCTATTATTGATATAGTCATTAGTTGTTGATGTGGTGTAATAAAGGTCATATGCAGCAAGTATTTTAATAAGATACCACTAAATATTTGGAATTTCAGGGGAAAAAAAACAAACATACACAAACACATGTGATGAAGCGGTTTGAGTTTGATGGCATTCATTACTTTCTGGGCTTATGGCCGACACAAAGACTGATCATTATCTACACATGACCAAAATCCTATCCTGAGAAATTAAGGGGGACCAAAGAGGGCCAGAATTTCTCTGTCCATTCTCAGGGGAGAAGACGTCCCACTACAATCACTGGTGAGAATGGGGACACCACTGTGGTACTATCACATTTATTTGATTTTTATTGATAAAACACCTTTTAAAGTAATTGCACTCAAACTACTTTAAGGATTCATTCTATTATACTGGAAGTGCATGATTCAGTATTGTCTATCTCAGCTTTTGTTGATGTGCAAATCACTATTATGCAATGTATGTTTTTGACATGTAAAACTTTCAAGATTATTATTAAGTCTTTTTTTATAAAAGTATCCAATACATTGGTGCATTTAGGTGTCCAGAAACAAGTTAAACAGAAATCACTTTCAGATAGCACACATGCTGGAATTCTGATGTGCTCTCCCTTATTTTTTACATATCTGTAAGTCATTGGCAATTTTACATTTCTTTAATGTTTATCTAAGACTTTTCTGATACCTACCTGCTTGTATTACCTAAGTGATGGTATGTAGCACTTACAGAAGTCTTTTCATCTATAGAAATTCTTCTAAGGTGACTGGTCAATGCTAAGCCAAAAATGAGAATGTTTTTTCTGGTATCTGACCAAATATCACCACCTGCTTAGCTGTCTCCATAGGCTTTACCTGGACTATTAATGTAAGACGCATTAGAGTAAGAATAGCCTAAACCAATGGAATTTCAATGTTTGGAGTAGATTTTGCACTTGGAAGACCCTGTTTTGCCATAGCCCTCCTGCAGGGTCATTTAAAGCTCAATTTCTAAGCACCTTTTAACATCTTCAATAAACTGAGATCTGCAGAAGCTAGAAAAAGCATCCAAGACATTTTCCCATCCACGCTTAGACAGAATTGCTGTTAGAAAAAAATGCAAAACAGACCGTGAGGTGCTTACATCCTGTTATGATGGGATGATGCAAGTACCTAAATACAGACAGGATGCAGAACATAGCATTGGAAGGAAAAAAATCATTTGTAAGAGACTGCTTCTACCACCACCACCCCACTCCTGCTGTAAAGTAGGTAACTACACATACATAGACATACGCACGCCCAGATGAAAACTGATCAAGATTCATCTTTAAGCATCTCTTGACTTCACGGTGAGGAAGAAACGACTACAAGTCAGGCAGCATGTGTTCCCAGGACGCTGTATGAACCTGGTCCGGGGAAAGCCCAAAACAACAAAAAGAAAGTGTTACAGATTTGTAAGCGGAACAATATAAAGCAGAATACATTCTCGAATGCTAGGTGAAATAACCACGACTTCACCTGGAGAATCCATCCATTGCAGGATAATGTGCTCAGAGCTGTGTCATCCCAAAATTGCCACTGTGGGAACAAAATATAGCTGGACTTCTCTAAGACCCAGAGTGACGCTGGCTCAATGGAAATGCATGTGCCACACCTGGACAGGGTACACCCCGCTCCAAAACAAACAAACAAAAAACCAACAAACAACCCACCCACAACACTTACAACTAGTTAAGTAGTTGAATTGAAAAAACACTGTTCAAGCAATCTCCTGAAAATATTTACTCACTTGATAATCTATCACAGATTGATGCTAAACAAATTGGGACTACACATTCCTCAATCGTAATTATCTGTGATGCCAGGAACAACTGCATATGTTACCAAGATCTCAGGAGTGGCACAGCTGCTTTTCAGCTGTGGAGATAACCTTGTGCCAAGCTGGCTGTTCAATGAATGATGAACTGTGCGACCTAGTTTATGACAGCAAATCACAGGCTGGTCTGTCGGATTATTCACAAATTCCTGGTGTTCTTGTGCAAATCGTATTCCAGGAACGCTCCTTCTGTCTGGGAAGAGATTTGTTCTGTTTTCAAAGAGCAAAGTTGTCCTGGAGACTGTTCTGAGATGAAGTAGCACAAAGCAGCTTTCAGAATGAAAATCGATTTTCGAAAGCAATGATGGTTTGTACCCAAGGAGGGGCGAAGCAGTATTGTGGATTTGTCTTGGGTCCTATCCCGAGGTCTGGCTGGCAGATAACAAGTAACGATAACCTAGAGCCCTATTCTGATAAAGGTGTTGCTGCCATCAGAGCGGGAAAAGCCACTACAACTTCTAAGTTTTAGCACTTGTACTCCTGTACGCCTTGCTTACCGCATCTGTAGGCAGCACTTAATTACTAGGAGAAACTCTGGCGGAGTTTCGTTACAGGCAACAGCGGAAATACTCAAAAAGTTAAGGGGACAAAAGGCTCAGTGCTGAAACAAGCACACACACCAACATTTCCACTAAGCAAAGGAGTGCTATGAAACAAGGCTATTGCAAGGCTATTCCTTCTTTTTTTTTTTTTTTCAAAGTTAAAGCCAGATTTTCTCGGTGTGCCCCAGCACTCTCTGAATCACACGTGAGCTTTCTCAGCAGCCCTCAGGGCATCGAAACCCCTCCAGTGACAGGAAGGGCATCGGGGGCATCGGCGGGGCTTAGAGGCTGGAAGAGCACAAACCTGTATCTGTGATTCCCACACCCATCCTAACTTTGTGGGCTCTCCGGGCCAGCACGACAAGCAGCCTGATCTCCTACACCGTGCTGTGAGCGAGTTTATCCCCGGCTGGAAATTACTTCTGAGTGAAAAAAAGCCACCCCCATGACACTGCCACCCCCCTCCCTGAGCGCCACCACGCCTGCCGCCCTCCCAAGCGCTATGTCCCACCTGGAAGGAAATAAAAATAAAAATAAAAACATAAAAACAACCTGTGGGACGAGCAACTTCTCCGCAGAGCCGGCAGGGAGAGCGCACCCGTAACACGCCGAAAGCTCCCGTCCAGAGCCGGCCGCGGGAGCCCCCCGGCCCCGCTCCCCTCGTTACCTGTCCCCGCCGCCGCTCCTCGGGCGGGCCCCCAGCGCCGTCCCATCACCTCCCAGCCCAGCCGGGTCGCAGGAAGGCGCAGAGCCGAGAGATTTTTTATTTTTTTAAAAAATGTGCGGGTCCCGCCCGCTTTATAAACCGGCTGGCTGCCGGCAGAAAGCCCCGCGGGCATGGCGCTGGGCGGAGCGAGCTACCCGCCACCGAGCTGCCCGCCCTGCCCTGCCCAGCCCTGCCCAGCCCGGCTTGTCCCGGCCCGGTCTCCTCATGGCGATGTCTTCCCTCCTTCCTTCCTTCCCTCCTCAGCCCCACAGCCTCTGCCAAGCGGCTTGCCCCACGGCACAGGGCACCTCGCCATGCCCGGGACCCCCCGGCCCCACCACAGTGCAGGCGGGAGGAGAACATGGCCGGCACCCCTGTGGTGACGCCTTCAGCTGTGGTGACCCGTCCCCTCGTGTGTTAGGAAGAAAAGAAACAAGAAGCAACCCTCCATAAACACTTCGCCCCTCTTGCCACTTACTACTGCCCTACTTACTACATGAGTTGATTGGTGTTTAGTAATTTGACAGGTTTCATAATTTGCGGGCTGCCTGTGGCTAGCTTCCAAGGCGAGCTCAAGGGACAACCCTCAGCCACCCCACCTGGAGCTATGCCCAGATCCTGATGGAAATGCTACAGCTTTTGATGCCAAAGGGCATCAAAATACATCAAATTTTGATGCATTTCAAACATAAGTCTGTCCCTAGAGTACCATTAAGCGAAAATGATCACCTAGAGATGAACAAGAAATGGAGAAATTTGTCTGAGGTCTTTTTCATTGCAGACTGAAGAGATTCTTCCTTTGAGTGTACTCAACTTTTACTCTGCAATAATCACCAGCTACTTCAGTGGGCAAAATTGCTGAAGGAAAAAGGGGGTTGGGTGCTATTTGTTTGTGGGAGGTCTAAGAGTTTTGTAATTTCATAAATTGCCTTACTTATCTCACACAGCTTCTTCAATATTAAGCAAGCCCAAATCCAACCAGAGGGTTATATATTTCATGACTTTTTTTTTTTCTTCTGCAGAAACTTGTGGACACAGTCGTCGGAGATGAAGGCCACCGTGTCAGTATGGGTTTACCTTGTATCACGGATTTTCTCTCTGCTGCTTGCTCTTTGCCAGAAGCAATCTAGTCAAAGCATGCCAGAAAGACGTCTTCTTTTACTGATACTTGGTGTTGCCTAACAATCAATGAACCTCAAAGCAAAAAAGCCCCAGTGGTTGGGATTGTCTTGGGTTGCAGGCAAAATAAAAATTTTGTCTGCAACTCCACTTCCGTGCAACATTACTTTATACAGATTTGTCTCCTGAGAGGTAGGCTACGTTATATTTTCCAGAGTGGCTAGGACAGCCGGAGCACCAGAGAAGCCTCAGTAAGAAACAGTTATTCCAGCAAAACCAATGTGTGATTTCTTTAATACAAACTCAGAAAAAAAAAAATTACAAAACAAAAAATTCCTATCAAATAGAATGCATTGGTCTCTTCTCACAGCTACAATGTATTTTTTCTGAGGTTATCTGAGGATATAAGATACCAGAATGTGTCCAGAGGAGGGCAACAAAGAGTGTGAATGGACTAGATAGAGGGTATGACTAAGGAGGAGTGGCTGAGTTCCTTTGGTTTGTTCAGTTTAGATGAGACAGAGGTGACCTCATGGCAGCTTACAGCTTCCTCACCAGAGGGAGCAGAAGAGGAGGTGAGGCACTGAGCTCCTCTCTCTGGTGATTGTTACAGAATCACAGAATGGATGGGATTGGAAGGGACCTCAGGATGCCACCTGGTCCTACCCACCTGCAGGGCAACCTGCTCAAGGTGGGCAATCTACACCAGTGCTCAGTCACCTGCACAGTAAATAACTGTTTCTTGAGGTTCAGACATAATCTACTGTCTTTCAATTTGTGAACATTGCCTCTTGTCCTGTCCCTTGGCATCACTGAGAAGAACCAAGCTCTGTCTTTGTGCTCTCCCTTGGTGTATTTGTATACATCAATACAAATGAACCCCCAAATCCTCTCTTCTCTAGACTGAAGAGCCTCAGTTCTCTTAGCCTTTCCTCCTAGGACAGATGCTTCAGGCCCTTTATCATCTTTATGGCCCTTCGTTGGAATCTCTCCTGGACACAGCATTCCAGGTGCAAAGGAGAAGGGAAGGAACATCCCCCTTGACCTGCTGCAGTGCTTTGCCTAATGCAGCCCACATACCTTTTGTCTTCTTTCCTTCAAGGGCACAGTGCTGGTTTGTGGTCAGCTTGGTGTCCACCCACTTCCTTTTCTGCCAAGCTGCTTCCCAGATGGGTGGCCCCTAATATATATATTTTTGATCCTCCTTAGGCAGTGCAGAACATTACACTTATAGAATCATGGAATCACCTAGGTTGAAAAAGACCTTCAAGACCATCAAGTCTGACCATCTGCCTGACCTACTGAGTCCCATCGCTGAACCATGTCCCTTAGTACCACATCCACAGGTCTCTTAAATACCTTCGGGGATGGGGACTCCACCATTTCCATGGGTGGCCTGTTCCAATGCTTGACCACCCTATTCATGAAGAAATTCTTCTTAATGTCCAATATAAAACTCCTGTGGCACAAATTGAAACTGTTTAATGGAATCATAGAACAGTTTGGGTTGGAAAGGACCTTAAAACCATCTAGTTCCAACTCCCTGACATAGGCAAGGATGCCAACCACTAGATCAGGTTGTCTGGGGCCTTGTCCAACCTGGTCTTGAACACTTTCAGGGATGGGGCATCCACAGCTTCTCTGGGCAACCTGTTCCAGTGCCTCACCACCTTCTGAGAGAAGAATTTCTTCCTAATCTCAAATCTAAATCTCCCCTCTTTTAGTTTAAAACCATTCCTCCTTGTTCTGTCATTGTGCTTGGAGCCCCAGATGTGGACGCAGTACTCCAGGTGGGACCTGACGAGGGCAGAGCAGAGAGAAACAATCACCTCCCTCAGCTTTCTGGCCTCTCTTCTGTTGATGCAGCCCACGATGCAGATGGCCTTCTGGGCTGCAAGCGTACACTGCTGGCTCATGTCAAAATTTTTGCCCTCCAGAACCCCCAGGTCCTTCTTCACAGGGCTGCTCTCAAGGAGTTCTTCTCCCAGTCCATGCTGATGTCTGGGATTGCCCCAGCCAAGTGCAGCACCTTGCACTTGGATTTGAATCTCATTAGGTTCACCATGTCTCCAGCCTGTCCAGGTCCCTTTGGATGGCATCTCTTCCTTCTGTTATATCAACTGCACCACTCAGCTTGGTGTCATCTGCAATATCATACTTTCTACCCTTTTTATAAATGGGAGTGATGTTTCCCTTTTTTTTTTTCCAGTCACCAGGGACTTCACCTGAGTGCCATGAGTTTTCAAATATGATGGAGAGAGGCTTGGCAACTGCATCAGCCAGTTCCCTCAGGACCCTGAGGTGTGTGCCATCAGAGTGCGTAGACTTGTAGCTGTTAAGTTGCATCAGGAGGTCCCGAACTTGCTCTTTGCTTACAGTGGAAGGGACTCTGCTCCCCCAGCCTCTACCTAGAGGTTCAGGGACTCAAGAGATTTGGGAATCCTGACCACTAGTGAAGACTGAGGCAAAGTTGTTAAGTACCACTGCCTTCTCCATGTCTGTTTGACCAGCAGACCCTTATTCAACTGTGCTAGTTTCCTACATTCCCTGCTTGATTTATTACGTATAGGAATAGAGAGCTCTTGTGCTCCAAGGAAAATATCCTTAAAGAGTTGCCAGCTCTGATCAGATCCTCTGTCCCTACGGACCGTGTCCCACGGGATCTCGTCCACCAATTCTCTGAACAGCTGGAAGTGTAGAGGCACTTCAGCTGGGCTATGGGCTGCGTCCAGTCTCCTTCTCCCGATTATTGGTGAAAAAGTTAAACAAATTCGGCCACAAGATTGAGCCCCAGCTCATGCCCCTGGTGACCAGCCACCAGCTGAACTGAACTCATCGCTAGGACTCTCTGAGCCAGACCATCCAGCCAGCCCTTCATCCAGCAAGCTGCCCATCTGTCCAAGTCATGAGCAGCCAGTTCCTCCAGGAGAATACTGTGAGAAATGATGTCAAACATCTTCACCTTGCTGAAGCCATGCTGACTACTCCTGATCACCTTACTGGACTAGTTTATCTGCTGGGTGCCCCCAGTGATGCGTAGGGACTGCTCTTAAGAGGATTTCCTGCAGATATCCCTCATATTCCACGGATATTTTCTTGGAGTGCCGACTATCACAAAAGCCCACTGTGACGGTTTCACGCAACACTGTGGAGAAGTTTTGGCTGCCTTTTGTCTCTACGACTTTCTGCAGTGAGGACACGACAACTGTCTCCCCTGCAAACAGTGTTAATTGTGGGGTCTGTAGTGCCTTATTGTGCAAGATCCTGTACTCATCTGTTTAAAAAGGCAGCTGCTGCCTCAAAGACTTTGTCATCTTGGCATATAAAAGACAACAGGTGAATGCAGTAAACAAATAGGGGAGCTGAGGGCAAAGTAACAGCGAAACAATCAGGCATGTTCTGTATAATAAGCGGCAGTCACAGGGCACCAGCAGCCTTGATGCTATGAAGGGCTTTTTTAGGCATCACAGGAGATAAGTTTCCAGGAGGAATGTGAAGGAGATTTGTACCGTTCTACTTTTCAAAGGACATGACAGGATTGGTTAGGCACAGGCATGACTAAGAGCTGGGTGAATTGTAAGAATAAGCTACTAAAACAAACAGCATCCCAAGAGCAGCTTCTTCAGTTACTCTTTAACCTCGTCTTTCAAAAACTAAGTTGGGAGACTGTCCACAGATTATTTTATTTTATTTTATTTTTTTCCCCCTGTGTTGTGATTCTAATTATCTTTGTTTTCTTTTATTCTCTGCACCTCACCCACATTGTTAATACTCTTTCCATACCAAGCAGCCTGAGATGGGCATGTATATCGAACACCCACTCTTCAGGAAGGTTACTGCTCTTCTCAGACCTGCTATTGTGTGAATTATATAAGGTACGGAGGCGGTGTGCGCTGGTGTATGGTTCATCAATTCTGCTGCTTGGGCATCTTCGCTTGTGTGGTTTCTGCAGCTCTCATGTACACTTTCTTATTGTGCCTCCTGTCCTTGCTCGCATTGTATTGTTGTGCTTATGATAGCCAGCATAAATCTTCTGCAAAAAGAGTGTATCACACACATTCTTAGAAGAGCACTTTTAGAAAGATAATTAGATTTTTTTTTTTTTTAATACATGTCACAACTTCCTCACTTTCTGCTACTTTTAATTAGGTATAGAAACAAGTATTGATATCAAGAAGTTAATTTTTATGTTAACAG